ACAATCAGACATCCATAGCGTTCTTGAGGTGCAGATATTGAGCATCCATCAGATCGTGAAGAGTAGATCCGGGTGGGATCTGAGGATTCCATCCGAAACAGACACTACGTGATGCTCTACGTCCTAATATAATCGTAGAGGCACAGGGGTAGCCAGGCATGAAGTCGCTGTAGGATTTCCATGCAGACGAGCGATTGAGGCCTCGCTAGCAGCGGACACGCGCGCGAGTGTGTGCGGGTGTGTGCGCGCGCACAGGGGGCCCAGGGGAGATTTGGGGACCCTCGGGTTTGTGGCCAGGAGTGCGGGACCCCACCTGCACCAGGTTTGTCACGTGCTGGCCTGGCCTGCACGCGGCAAGCACGTGGTGCACCTGTTTCTGGGTGTTCGTGAGGGCACATGGTCGCATGCCTCCCTGCCTCTGTGTCTGAATTATTTGGGTGGCGCCCTCAAGTACACGAGGGTATCTGTGGGCTTTCAAAATTTCGGGGCCACCTAAATAAATTTATCTTGTCATTCTGTTGTCCACGAACTTCCAGAAAGCCTTGCTGTATCTTCAAATGAATGTGTGTGTGTGTGTGTGCACGCACATAGGTTTTTTTGTTTTTTTTTTTTTTTTTAAATTATCTTCATGTATTTGAAAGGCAGAAAACCAAGAGATCTTGCATCTGCTGGCTCATTCCCCAAATGACTTCAAACAGCCAGGGCTCGGCAAGGCCAAAGTCAGGAGCTGGGAATTCAATCCAGGTCTCCCACCGGAGTGGCAGGGACTCAAGTACTTGAGCCATCATCTGCTGCTTTCCAGGGTGTGCAATGACAGGAAGCTGGACTAGGGAGCAGAGCCGGGACTCGAACCCAGGCACTGTGATGTGGGATGCCGGTGTCCCAGGTGGTATCTTAAGCATTGCACCAAACACCTGCCCCAAGGACATCTCTTAATTCCCTTTTGTGTCAACTTTTGGAAGCATCCTCATCTCTCTGGGTATGAATGTGGCAACATGTATCTGAGGGTGTGTGCGTGCGTGTTCAGTGCGTGTTGTGTGTGGGTGTAGGTGTCTCTATCCCGAGGGTGCACGTGAGGGCCTCTCAGTTTCGTGGGTGAGAGGAATGCTCATATCTGTGCCTCTGAAGGTACCTGGACGCCCCAGGGGGTGCGGCTGACATCCAGCTGTGTATTTATGGGGGGTGTGGTTTGTGGCTGTGCCTGGGTTATGTTTACAAATGCCCGCGTGTGTATGTGCGGTGTCTGCCATATTTGTTGAGGGAGGGCTCTGATTGTGCATAGGTGTGTCTGTGTGTGGATGTGTGCAGGCACGGGGCTTTGTGTGGGCGTGTGTATGTGCATCTCTGTGCATGTCCGAGTACGGTCCACTCTCTGTGGCCATCAATTCTGCTCCTGCAGGAATCAGCCACCCTCAGGATGGAGAATATTCGGGATGGGAGTTGGGGGGAGGAACGGTGTCTGTCCTGAACAAATCCCACCTCTTTCAGCTGTTTGTATAGCACTGGCATTGCACGAATGACTGCACGCGATCTTCCAGAGGTGATTCGAGGGCTACAGGGTGTGTGTGGGCAGGGGCCATGCAAATAGCACGCTGTTCTCTGTCAGGGCATCTTCTGAGGTCCTGGAGCCAGTCCCCCTTCCCGATTGGTTCCTGTGCCTACAGAGGCACGGGGGAGGGGCTTCGAAACACTCGAGGGGGGAAGACGCACTGCAAAGAGAAGTTGACTTGGGTGCGCAAAGTTTTGAAATCCACGCATGGGCTTTCCAGCACACGCATCCCCCGTGAACAGTGTGCCAGGGATTTGTGAGTCCGGGTACGTGATATTGAGGCTGAGGTTGTGCAACCCTGAGAAACAGGGCACACGCATGCGCGAATGCTCGTGTCCGAACACGTTCATGGAAGTGCGTGTGTGCGCAGCCGTCTAGCGATGGCACGTACATGAGTGCTGTGAATCTGTCGGTGTGTCAGCAGCAAGGCACGTGAGTATGTGATACGCACAGCCAGGCAGGGACATGTGTGCAATCGTGCAGGTGGGACTGGGTACACTTGTCAAGGTGGAAGCCCCGGCGTGTGGCCATTTGTGTGTTCTGTGTCACAGCATTGTTAAGAATGCACAGACATCTGGGTGACAGCGAGGGCTTCCCAGGCCTGTGTGTCTGTGAAGCTCACGTCTACACCGGTGTAATTTTGTGGACAAATGCAGAGTCTGTAGGAGCAATTACTCAGACTCACCAGATGCCAAGGTGTGTGTGTTTGTCCACGGAAGGTGGGAGATATGTGTGCAAGTGCATGGAGATGCATGTGTGTGTCACATGTGAGAGGCTGTGTAAGTGCGTGTTTGTGTAGTTACATCTTTTTTTTTTTTTTTTTTTTGACAGGCAGAGTGGACAGTGAGAGAGAGAGAGACAAGTCTTCCTTCTGTTGGTTCACCCCCAAATGGCTACTGTGGCTGGCGCGCTGCACCGATCCGAAGCCAGGAGCCAGGTGCTTCTCCTGGTCTCCCATGCGGGTGCAGGTCCCAAGCACTTGGGCCATCCTCCACTGCACTCCCGGGCCACAGCGGAGAGCTGGCCTGGAAGAGGGGCAACCAGGACAGAATCTGGCGCCCCGACCGGGACTAGAACCTGGAGTGCCAGCGCCACAGGCAGAGGATTAGCCTGTTGAGCCGCGGCGCTGGCCAACATCTTTACCATATAAAATTCTGTAAGAGGCTTAAGCTGCCGACTGCAGGGCCAGCCTCCCATATAGGTGCTGGTTTGAGTCCCACCTGCTCCACTTTCCAGTCCAGCTCCCTGCTAATGCGCCTGGGAAGCAGTGGAAGATGGCCCAAGTACAAGAGGCCACCCATGTGTGAGACCCGGATGGAGTTCCAGGCTCCTGGCTTCTGTCTGGCTCACCCTGGCCTCTCTCTTCTCTCTCTCTCTCTCTTCTCTCTCTCTCTCTCTCTCTCTTTCTCTCTCTCACTCTAACTCAGCTTTTCAAATAACTGAAAACAAATATTAAGACACGCTGCGAGATGGAAAAACACTAGGGCTGTCCCAGATGGTGGCCTCTTGCCGGCCCTGTGTTAAGACGCCAGAGTGCGGGGGACACCCTCTGGGTGTGGGTCTCCTGGACCAGAGCGTGTGAATGGGAGGGGGTGGGTGTGCCGGAGGGAGGGGAGCCAGGCGTGCCCTCCTGCCTGGATGTGCCCGTGCAGGAGAGGGTGTGTGTGTGTGCGTATGTAGCCTCGTGCAGAGGTGGATGACGTTCGAGTCTCGTGCCTGGCACCCTTCTCATCCCCCTTGGAGGGACCCAGACAATGTCCTGGCTTCCCATGAGTGGCCCTGCCAGGGATCCGGGGCTCTCCACGGCCTCAGCAGGGGAGGGTGTGGCGCGCGTCCTGCTGGCTCCCAATGTGGTGTTTGCTCTCTTTGGGAGAGCTCCGTGACCTCTGCAGACCCCAAGGACAAACCCAGGTGTAGGCAGCACCTGCCATCAACAGCAAATGCTCCGGCGGTGCGTGGAGAACGCACAGCCCCGAAGCGGCGCGCAGGTCCCTCACCTGGCCTGGCCTGGGAGGGGGGAGGGGCGAGGGGGCGTCCGCAGGTGCGAGGCGGGGGAGCTGGAGCTGGGACCCGCCCGCTCGCTAGGGCGCCAGAGGCCTCCTGGGGCCCAGCCCCCACACCGGGCCAACTGGAAGGCCTGGCTGAGCTAGACGTCCCGCCCACGCCCAGCCCAGGCCGGCTGGATCGAGGTCCCTCCTGGCCCCCAGGGCGGATCCTGAGGCCCAGCCAGCCTCAGACACACTGACTCCCCTGTGTGCCGCGCCCCCTCACCCGCGCCCCACTCCAGCAGCTCCAGGTGCCTGCCGGGATCCCGCCTCCTCCCTACCTGGAGCTACCTTCCTTCAGTCCTGAGACAGGCCCTGGTATGAAGCAGAGGGTTTGGTGGGTTTGGGGGGGCAGCTGAATCCCCATAAAATCACCTGCCTGGCCGTGCACTTCCTGGATCACCCTAACAGGTCACGATCTGCAATACGCCCCAGCACCCTCTCCAGGGATCCTGACAACACCAAGAGTGTGAGACCCATTTCACAGATGGAAAAACCAAGGATGGAACCCGGGCGCTTCCCTTTTCCTTTCTCAGGTCAGCTCCACTTTTTTTTTTTTTTTTTTTTTTTTTTTGACAGGCAGAGTGGACAGTGAGAGAGAGACAGAGAGAAAGGTCTTCCTTTTCTGTTGGTTTACCCTCCAATGGCCACCGCAGCCAGCGTGCTGCGGCCAGCAGCACCGCGCTGATCCAAAGGCAGGAGCCGGGTGCTTCTCCTGGTCTCCCATGGGGTGCAGGGCCCAAGCACTTGGGCCATCCTCCACTGCACTCCCTGGCCACAGCAGAGAGCTGGCCTGGAAGAGGGGCAACCGGGACAGAATCTGGCGCCCCGACTGGGACTAGAACCTGGTGTGCCGGCGCCGCTAGGCGGAGGATTAGCCTAGTGAGCTGCGCCGCCGGCCAGCTCCACTTTCTATGAACATCGAGGCCCCTGGGATGGGACATGGGCGAGGCCTGTGGTTGTGGGGTTCTTAGAGCACAGGAAGGTTGGGGGTCCCCTCTCTGCACCTCCAGTCCACAGTGAGCTAAAGCAGTAGGAGGCAGGCAGGGCGCCCGCCTGCCCAGCGTCCCAGCTGGCCGGCCCTGTATCAGAGTCGGCCTTCCCAGAAGGAGTTTCTTGTCAGGATCTCAGACAGATGTGCCCAAAATAGTTCACCAAGATGTCTTTTTTTCTTAAGATTTATTTATTTTTTATTTGAAAGGCAGAGTTACACAGAGAGAGGAGAGGCGGCGGGGGGGGGGGGGGTCTTCCATACGCTGGTTCACTCTCCAGATGGCCGCAACAGCCAGAGCTGAGCTGATCCAAGCCAGGAGCCAGGAGTTTCTTCCAGGTCTCCCACGTGGGTGCAGGGGCCCAAGCACTTGGGCCATCTTCTACTGCTTTCCCGGGCCACAGCAGAGAGCTGGAGGGAAGTGGAGCAGCTGAGTCTTGAATGGGCGCCCACATTCACCATGATTTCTAAGGACAACCTCGTGCACACACATGTGCTTGTGACCCTTGCCTTTAGCAGGCATCCATGAAAGAGAGGTGAGAGGAAGCCAGGGGTTGGGGGGGAGCTTGGCTCAGCAGTGAAGACACCACCTGGCTGCCTGGGTGCCTACTTGGAGCCCCGGCTCTGGCTCCTGACTCCAGCTCCCTGCTAATGTGGACCCAAGTCGTTGAGTCCCTGCTACCCACGTGGGAGACCAGGATTGTGTTCCTGGCTTCTGGCTTGACCCACGGCCATTACAGGCATTTGGGGAGTGAACCAACAGATGGAAGATCTCTCTCTCTCCTATTCAAATAAAATGAAAAGAAATTTTAAAAAAATTTTTAAAATGGAAAATGCCACTTAACATCTGTGTTCTTGCTGCCAGTGGACTCCTGAGACAGACATCAGGACATTTGCACTCAGGATGCAAGGACCTGACCAGTCCTCCAAACTCCAGAAGTCACTGAAAATTAATGGAGTCCAAGAAGGGGCCAGCGCTGATGTGTAGCAGGTAAAGCCACTGCCTGCAGTGCCAGTATCCCATATGGGCGTTGGTTTGAGTCCCAGCTGCTCCACTTCCGATCCAGCTCTCTGTTGTGGCCTGGGAAAGCAGTAGAAGATGGCCCAAGTCCTTGGGCCTCTGCACCTGCATGGGAAACCTGGAGGAAGCTCCTGGCTCCTGGCTTCGGATCAGTGTAGTTCCAGCCGTTATGGACAATTGGGGAGCGAACCAGCAAATGGAAGACCTCTCTCTCTCTCTCTCTCTCTCTCTCTCTCTCTCTGAGTGTGTGTATGTGTGTGCGTAACTCTGACTTTCAAATAAATAAATAAATCTTAAAAAAAAAAAAAAGAAAAAGTGGTCCCAAGTCGCGAGGACTCTAAGAGGTGATACTACACGTCACACAGGAACCTGGGACAGGCTGGAGCAAACGGAGAAAATGGAAAAAAGCAATCTGAATGAAGCAGGGGATAGCTCACGAGGATGCACACCTGCAGGTTCATTCATTGTAACCGATACAGCCTCCAAGTGTGAGGTGACAGCAGCAGTGGCAGCTGCACCTGTTCCCTGTACGTGTGCTGTGGGGAAGCGAGTGTGCTGGCCTCTGTGCTATCTGCTCAAGTCTTCTGTAAACGTGACAGAGTTCCTTTGGGGTAGTTATTCAGCCTGGCCATTAAGACGCCAGCATCCTACATTAGAGTCCCTGGGTTCAATTCCCAGCTGTGGCTCCTGACCCCACTTTCCTGCCGATGTGCACCCTGGGAGGTAGCAGGTGATGGCTCAAGTGCCTGGGCCCCTGCCACCCAGGTGGGAGACCCAGATGGAGGTCCTGGCTCCTGGCTTTGGCCTTGGCCCAGTCCCAGGCACTGTAGGTATTTGAGGAGTGAAGCAGAGGATGGATGATCTCTGTGTGTGTGTGTGTGTGTGTCTTTCTCCCTCTTAAATGAATTTAATAAAATATGTTTATTTAGTGCAAAAACAAACCTTGAAGTCTATGCATGAGAGGATCTTCAGAAAGGTCGTGGGAAACGTGTTCTATGAAAAAACTATGCCTGGATCTCACAAACAAACAAACAACAGCAACAAAAAACCACTTTTGCACCAAAATAAACTTACCTTTGAATTCAGTTTTCCATGAACTTCTTGAAGTCTCCTGGTACCTACGAGCTTTAGGGTGGCCTTGAGCCATCCAGGGTCTCCAGGGGAATCCTGCAGGCCCCAAAAAACACAGAGAAGCCACCACCAAGGCGGCCCATCCCAGGGTGTGGCCCTGGGGCCCCAGAGAGCTCGAGGATTCGGAATGTGTTTTTCAGATCGAACTGACGGCGTTGGCCAAAGCCTGCGCCATCAGGGGAGGAGAGGCAGGGAGGAGGCCTGGACGATCGCTGCCTTTCGCAACGGGGCAGGTGGGAGCGCCATGTGCTGAGATGGGCGCGTGAGATGAGGCTGGGAGAGACGGTTGAGTTTTACCTGGGGCAGGGGCGGTTTCAAGTCCCCGAGGGCCAGCGAGGAGACCTCACGATCCCCTGCCTGCCCCAGGCTCCCTTCCTGCCTCCACCACTGTCTGGGACCCCCAAAGGGCTGGCGGGGCCTCGTGTCCTTGCTCAGATGCGGAAGCACTGGGGGCTCAGGGACCACCAAGGCGCCCTTCTGTAGGGTGTGGGATTAATAACCTGAGCTGCAGGCAGATGGTGGAACAGCAATCCAGGGCTACCCAGAGAGGAGCCGCCAGGTCATGAAAACACCCTGAGAAACTTGGCAATTTATTTATTTATTTGGAAGGCAGAGTGACACAAAGAGAGAGAGAACCCAATTGTTCATTCACCCGTCAAATGCCCACAACAGCTCCAGACCAAAGCCAGGAGCCAGGAGCTCCATCCGGGTCTCCTATGTGGGTGGCAGGGGCCCAGCTCTTGAGCCATCACGGCTGCCTCCCAGGGTGCACATGAGCAAGGGGCTGGATCGGAAGTGGAAGAATGAGGACTTGAACCTGTGCTCTGATGCGGGAGGTTGGCCATGCAAGTGGCGGCTCAACCCACTGCGCCCCAACGCCAGCCCCTCCCTGATGCTCCGGCTTGCTGTGAACAATGCTGCTGTACAAAATAAAGTGGATTAAAGAAACAGGCATAGTAGGACAAATACTAAATAAATACTCACCAATACATGCTCAGGCACTTACAAGTATACCCAATAACACCCACACAACTGCACTCAAGAATAGAACTATCTGTGTGGGTACACGCACACACACACACACCGGGGTACTTTTTAAAAGTTTACAGAAGGGGCCAGTGCTGTGGCATAGCAGGTAAAGCCACTGCCTGCCATGCCGGCATCCCACATGGGCACCGGTTCGTGTCCCAGCTGCTCCACTTCCAATCCAGCTCCCTGCTCGTGGCCTGGGAAAAGCAGAGGATGATGGCTCAACTGTTTGGGTCCCTGCCACCTATGTGGGAGACTCGGATGAAGCTCCTGGCTCCCGGCATAGGGCTGCCCTAGCACTGGCTGTTGTGGCCATTCGGGAAGTGAATCAGTGGATGGAAGATCTCTGTGTGTGTCTTGAGCCATCATTGCCTCCTCCCAGGGCTGGAGTCAGCAGCCGGCGCTGGGACTGGAACCCGGGCATGCTGATGGGGCACATGAGTGTCTTAACTGCTAGGCTAAAGGCTTGCTCCCATGGGTGTGCTCTGGTGAGAGAGACCTCCGTGTGCGCCCTTGGCAGGAAGGAATTGTGTATCCACTCCACCGCTTTCTTCCTCTCCCTCCCTCTGGAAGTGAGAGGTCTGTGTGCAGACAGAAATGAGGCAGACTCAGCGAGCCCCAGGAGCTGGCGGGGTGAGGGGTGGGGCGGGAAGCTGAACAAGGCTCAGGGCACTTTTCCAATCTTCTCACACCATGGAGGCCAGGTGGGTGCAGGGTGGCAGCCGCAGGGAGGAGGGGTGGGAGAGGAAGAGGAGTCTCCGGGCTGCCCGAGATGGTGGGAGGATAAACAAGGCAGGGAACAGAGTGGGAGCGGTTGCCCGTGTCCAGGGCAGGCCCGGAGGTGCCAGAGATAAGTGAGCAACCTCACTGGATACAGCAGAAGGGGCTCTGCCGTGACCTTGGGAAGCGGTCTCACGGGCACATGTGCGGGGAGGCACAAGGCAGGGAGTCAGACTAAGAAGTCCCGGAGGGGCAGGTGCTTGGCGCAGTGGCCGAGCCCCCGCTTGGGGCTGCTTTCTCCCACACGGGAGGGCAAGGGTTTGAGTCCCAGTTCCACTTTCTGCTAATGCACGCCCTGGGAGGCAGCAGGTGATGGCTCAAGTACTTGGGTCCCAGACAGGTTCAGGTCTGGGCTACTGGCTTTGGTCTGATCCAGTCCTCGCTACTGCAGGTATCTGGGGAGTGAATCAGCAGATGGAAGATCTCTCTCTCTCTCTCTGCTTTTCAAATAGGTAAATAATTTTTGTTTTACAAAAACATTAGAATCCCCCTCCTAACCCTCTGCTTCTTCGCCCACCCCCATCCCTGCCACCTTCCCCTCTGTGTTCACTCTGTGCTTCTGTCTACCTCCCATCTTTCCCCCTGAGTTTCCTGCTGTGGAGCCGTAGACCCTCACAGGGGGACAGGAAACTTCAGCACCACCTAATCTAAGCCTTAATCTGGAGCTCAGAGAATCCAAGCCTACCCTTGACCCCTCCCATGGAGGGAGAGCTCACTCCAGAGAGAAGCTGGCCCTCAGTCAGTCCTTGAATACAAGCATGCATACAGTAGGTGCTCAATGGATGTTTCTGGAATCTGTTTCCCTGCCTATGGGAGCTTTAATAATTGTTTTTAAACATTTTAGAGATTTATTTATTTGAGAGGTGGAGTTACAAGCAGAGAGAGGGAGAGATGGAGAGAGAGTTCTTCCATTGGCTGGTTCACTCCCCAGATTGCCAATTGCTGGGCTGATTCAAAGCCAGGAGCTTCTTCCAGGTTTCCCACATGGGTGCATGGGTCCAAGTACTTGGGCTACCTTCCACTGCTTTCCCAGACAATAAGCAGAGAGCTGGATTGGAAGAGGAGCAGCCAGGACACGAACTGGCACCCATATGGGATGCTGGTGCTGCAGGCAGAGGCCCAGGCTACTATGCCACAGTGCCTGCCTTTGTTTTTAAATTTTTGAGAGCCAGAGAAATAAAGACAAGAAGCACCCATCCACCACTTCACTCCTTAAATACCCACATAAGAGTCTCAATCCAGGTCTCCCACACAAGTGGCGGGGATCCAAGTACCTGAGCCATTACTGCTATCTCCCAGGGTCTGCATTAACAGGGAGCTGGAATTGGGAACCGAACCCTGGCTCTCTGATGTGGGAGGCCAGGGCCTTAACTACCAGGCCAAATGCCAGCCCAGCTCCAGGGAGTGCCTGAGGCTCCCTTAGCCCGACAGCCTTCCACTTCCCTCGGCTCCCTTCTCAACTTCTCTACTAAATTATGCATCCTAGACACCAATGTAACCATCAAGATGCAGAGTAACTTGAGGCGAGCATCAGGTTTCATTTAGAATATATTCATTAATAGATTGTGCGCTACTCACTTCAAAAAGTTTGGTGGATGGCCAGCGATGTGGCGTGGCGGGTTAAGCTGCCACTTGCAACACCAACACCATATATCAGAGTACTAGTTTGAGTCACAGCTGCTCCACTCCCTGCTGATGTGCCTGGGAAAGCAGCAGAGGATGGCCCAAGTCCTTGGGCCCCTGCCACCCACGTGGGAGACCCGGAAGAAGCTCCCGGCTCCTGGCTTCTGCCTGACTCCAAACTGGCTGTTGTGGACAGATGGAAGTGCTCTCCCTTTCACTCTCTCTCTCTCTCACTCTGTCACTCTGCCTTTCTCTCTCTCTCTCTTTTTTTCTCTCTCTCTCCCTCCATTCATTCCTTCCATCCATTCTTTCTTGGACCAGCATTGTGGTGTAGCAGATAAAGCCGCCACCTGCGATGCCCGCATCCCATATGGGTGTGGGTTCAAGTCCCGGCTGCTCCACTTCTGATCCAGCTCCCTGCTAATTCACCCAGGAAATCAGCAGAAGATGGCCCAAGTGCTTGAGACCCTGCACCCACATGGGAGACTGTGAAGAAGCTTCTGACTCCTGGCCTCAGCCTGGCCCAGCTCCCGTACTCACAGCCATATGGGATGCCAGTGTTGCAGGTGGCAGCTTTACCTACTATACCACAACACCAGCCCCAGCCTTTCAAATAAATAAACAAATGTAAAACAAAAAGTTTGTGGGGAAGATGAAATTAAATGTTGCTTATTTTGATGCAAAAAACCCATGCATAATATTTTCTTTTCTTTTTTTTTTTTTTTTTGACAGGCAGAGTGGACAGTGAGAGA